TTGTTCTAAACATGACAAAACAAATGAAGAAGAAAAGAGGAATAAACTGTTGAAGGATCCAATAGAGGTCATATGCTCAACTGCTGTCACAGGATGAACAAAGGTAGTAACTTTGCTTATTTGCTATCGCAAACAATGCTCTGTTGCTGTCTTTAGGAATGCTCTCCGATGCTTGCTCTCTCGTCTCCTCCGATCCTATTTATAATGGTTTTACATCTTTTTTCCCTTGAATCTACCGCCTCTTATCCATATCCATATATCTTAATATAAAATAATATATTAGATGATTTTCTTTGCATTACTAATACCACTATTATCTTTTTATCTCCTTCCTTAAATTCAATTGATATAATATAATATATTATATTATTGCAATTGATTTATTCTTTGGATCTGCATGGCTCACGCTTCTGAGCAAATATTACTCATTTTTTATTTTATCTTTTATTTATGATATTTTCTTCTATTAATAATTTTATATCTCCTATAATAAAGACAATAAAAGATTTGAGTAAATTTATTGCAAGATCATCTTTTATCCCATAATTGATAAAAGAGAGGAAAATCTACAAAAGATAATTAAATAGGTATAAGATCTCCATAAATTTCACCAAATAAATCAAAATATATAACTTTTTAATTATAAAATATAGACTTATCATGAAGCATGAGCCGTTGCACTCTCCTCCGATTACTCCCCGTGAATCCTTTACAAGAGAGAGCAAGGAGAAAAATATATATACCTATATCTATTTATATAACAACTTTTCACTTACTTAGGAGCGAGATTCACAAGATGAATTCTTAGTAATCAAAATGCTCTGTTTCTAAATGGAAAAACAGAGAAGAGCAGAGTAGGTAACTCCCTAGAGATGATGATCGCTGATAAGAAACTTGTTATGAATAGAAGTATTATTGCATTTGGAGCTACAAAATAAAAAGTATGGGGACCAAATTAAAAATCGAGGTAAACTACAAAGATTCAAATATTAATCTTCCAGAAACACAAACCGTACGAGAAAGTTGCTGCCCTTTATTATGTTTAAAATAAGGTAGTCCAAGACTTCCGTCCACTTGAATTTACCCCAGTTGCGAAATTTGAGGTCAAACGAATAGTAATTAAGCGTATGTAGCAATCTTTATTTTAATTTATATAAAAAAGTAATTTTTATTTTAGATTTATACGCATAGTAATAACTTAATTTTCTGACTAATCGGCATTCAACAAATACAAATCCAAGTCATCCCAATAATTTACCCCAGTTGAGAACCATCACTGGCGCTTTGATCTTTCTGATTCGTGAGAGTTAGAAGGTATGTGCCGTAGAAAGTAATTCTAATTTGAGTAGCTAGTGCTGAAAATTTATGCGAAGTTTAAAAAAACTATTGAACCATAATTTAAAAATGAATAGGAAAATAAATGTTTGTTTGATTTTTATTTTAATCCTAAATATAAAATTCTAATCTATTTTGTTTCTCATATTTGTCTATTGTTTCCTAAGATAGTCTTTATAATAATGATAGTTATAGCCGATACACTTTATTAATAAGAATATTTTTGAAAAACAACATTTATTTATTACAAGTAACTAACATAATTAATTTTTTTAATCTATCCAAATTAGCCATCTAGCTTTTATATAAAGAACTGGAGGTGGTATATTCTAATATTTGTTTTAGGATTAGGCGCATAGTGACTACTACTCTCTCTTACTAATAATCAGCATTCAACATATATACTAATACCTCTGGTTTTTAATATAAAAACTAATTAATTAATTTGAACAGATTAAGTTAGTATGCTAAGTTAGTTATTTGTAATAAATATATCTAAAATATCCTTGCTAATATTCTGTTAGCTTTAACATTTGATTAAACATTTAACATGTATAATTACTATAATGACTACTTTAGAAAAAAATAAATAAATATTAGATACAAATTAGACTGCGATCTTATATTTAGTACCAAATTGAAAGTCAAACTAGCTCTTATATTAAAAACCGAAGTAGTAATAATTATGATATTTTGAAGACAATAGCAACAATATTCTCCTTAAATATGGATAATTCAACATTAATTTGGCGAAGATAGCCAAGAGAGAGAAAAATGTTCCAAACTATAGAATTTTTCAGTTACATGAATATCAAAAGGAGAGAAATATGTTGGCTCTTTATTTAGCTTATTTAATTATTCATTTTACAATTATTCGATGATAACCGATGCATAAATATGATTTAAGAGGTGTTTGGATTAGGTTTTTAAACATAATTTTACAGTGTATAAAGTAAGTACATGAGATGAATTTTGTTTTGACTTATCTGAAGAAAAAAATTTTAAATGATTTTGGGGGTTTACCGAACTCTCCTTATGGAGGAAGAGGTAGAGAGATATCGATTTTATCATGCAAAAGAGAAGAAAAATGGTGATACTAGGTACAACGACCGGGAATAACAAAGGACAGCATGAAATCCAGGACCTTTTAAGACGGCGAAGAAATCCATCCCATGGATCCCAATTGAAGGATCATACATCGAGATAGAACAAGGTTAGCCAACTGATTAGGCCCATGCGGTGTCAAACTTTACAGACCTTAATGCTGCTAACAAACATTATCAATCAGACAATAGTAACATATTTATTGATGGTCCCTAGCTACCAAAACAAATGCATCACAAAATGAAAAAAGGTAGCTACATATATAAGCCAATCAAAAAAGCAGAAACAAATATCGATTTTCCTGATAAAGTACTGATGCAATACACAAGACATCAAAGTTGCTCCACCATTTTGCCTGATGGCGTGAAGATATATAATTAAAGTGAAGTTAATTTCCCAATAATAACATAGGACATATTTTTCAAAATTCATTATTTGATACTTAGACCCAGATAATTATAACGTACTTGATTCCAAGGTCAATATGTGAGATATTTTATTTTTATTTTTATTGTTGTTGTTATTATGCAGATATTTGATTAGAAAATTAATAAAATATCCTGACTGTGATATGTAATCATAGGGTAATTAATTTTACTCTGTATATTGCAAGTAGCATGAATTACTGAGAAGAAACTTTAGTCAAATTGGATGTTTTGGGTTTGGTCTTTAGGAGTATATTGTGTAAGGCAGATTCATATAAACAAACAATTAATCCAGATAATAACAATATGAATCCTCTTATAAGAATATAATGGAAAACTTCATAAATACTTCTAGACATAACTTTGACTTAAGTTATCTTGGGATCTGAGATATGACATAAAAACTACAAAACAGAACAAGAGTCAAAAGAAAGTAATTGTTCAAGTCTCTTCTTTTAGCTGGCAAAAAGCACAATGATGACAATTGAGATTAGTTATCACCAGTCAAGGAATGATAAATGAGTAAATAGGGTTTTTCTTCTTACTGAATGTTTTCAACTGTAAAAAACTTAATTATTTACTTGGGTTGGTCCAATTAGTTGCTTTAGCACCTAGGCATAATATTGAAAAAATGAGTGATTACAGTATAAATGAGGTGTATATTTCTCAATTTCAGCATTGGCAACATTATCTTAATTATATGTTTAAGGTATAAATATTTCTCAATCAATTCCCTCCCAAACAGAAATATAAATAATAGTGCATCACATAACGTGTACATCTGAATTTGATAGAAAAAGAACAGATATTTGATGATAAATAGATTTATTTAAAGAAACCAACTTGAGAAATAATCAGAATTGAGAAACACCTTATGCATGAGATGAGGACTGAATTGAAAAATAAACAAGGAGATGGATTTTACATGGTGAATATATAATAGCAGTAATCTTGTACCATTGCACAACGACTTAATTGCTTCTGGGTGGCTTCATTTATCGTAGGAACTAGAAGAGAAATGAACTTGTAGAAGCATTATGACTTCTGGAGACCCAATAGTCCTCTGAACCCAACCAGAAATAGGAAGTGGGTGCAGAGCCAACCTTGGCAACTAACACTAGTAAACAGAGATGTTGAGGGCGAGCTTCTGGAATTTGATTTCCCTTATTGGCTTCAAACACTTCTTTTCCAAAGCCTACATAAACATTCATGTAACCACATTCACAAATCACTCGATTTACAAGAGAAGTGTACAATTACTACAGCAGTGCAGAGGAAAAAAAACATATGAACAGGGGGAAGGTTGAAATTGAAAGTGATAGGACGGAGTGCCGTGAATCTCACGAAAAGACTATAATGCCCCCTTTTATGTTCGTAGCTAAGGCTGTTCATACCGAAACTGTCCCAGGGTTTACATTAATATATATATATATATATATGTATATTTTAATTTAATTTTTGTTATATGTTATTTTTGTTTATCTATTCAAACAACAACAAAAAATAAACATTGAGCATAAAAAAGTAAATAGAAGTCACATAAAAAATTTAAATTAAAATGGTAATACGGTTTTTTTTATCAAAAATTAAAATTAAAAAAACTCTCACGGAACGTCCCAATCTCAGTTTGTTCCAATACGGCTTCGTCATCTCGATTTTGTCTCATCCCATAAACTGAAACACAAAACAAAAACTCTCTGTTGCCCAGAATCAAACCCAGGCCTCTCGAGTGAGAGCCTAGTGTCTTAACCAACTAGACTACAACGAATTATGTTGGATGTTTAAACATTGGATAACTAAATTTTGATTATAGTTACGAAGCATATAATTACATGCTAAGTAGCTGGCCCATGTTAATGTGAGTCCAAGTATTGGCATTTAGTCACTACCATCACTTAGTTTTTTAATAAAACTAAAAACATTGTGTCTACCTCGTGTTTGTTAGAAGATATAACTGAGGTTAGAAGCTTGAGGAATTTAAAAGTCCTAAGTTTTGCTCACTCTGAAATTGAAAGGCTACCAGTTCAATTGGCAGGGTTGACTTCTTTACAAATGTTGAATTTGACCCATTGCTCCAAGCTCAAAGTGATTGCCCCGAAACTTCTATCTAGCTTGAAAAGATTGGAAGTGTTGCCCATGGGAAACAGCTTTAACCAATGGAAAATTGAAGGATCTAGTGAAGTTAATGAAAATGCAAGTCTTGATGAGTTAAAGGATTTGCCCATCTCTTCTCCCGATATTCATATTCCTAAAGTCTCTATGTTGCCGGAGACTTTGTTCTTAGATTTGAATTTGAAGAGATATAGAATATTCATTGGAGAGCTTTGGAAATGGCAAGGCAATCATGAAATTTCAAAGATATTGAAACTTGAGCTAGAGGGTCGAATCCATTTGAAGCCTGGAGTACGAAAGTTGATAACAGGAGCTGAAGATTTGTATTTACATGGATCTAATGGGCTTGAAAATGTTCTTCACAGTCATGATGGAAGAGCATTTCCACATTTAAGGCATCTTCAGATTGAAAGTAATGATACTATTAGATATATTGTTTTGAACTCAGCACATCTTGAAGCTGCAACAAATAACATATCCAGCAAAATGTCTTGAGTTACATTTCAGCAAGGTATGTGCAGATTATTTTGTTCACAATTTTTTTCTTACTTTATCTTCTTACAAAACTTCAAAATTATAGGCAAAAATGATTTTCACTAGAATTACTGGCTCTACTATTAGGCAATTATGGAAGTTTGTAGCTTTTTGTTTTTTTAATTACTTAAAATCAGCTAATAGAAAAGAAAAGCTAATAACTTCGAGTTTTAAAATAAATAATGAAGCCTCAAATTATTCATTTTACTTCCTAAAACCAGTTAACTTGATATTTTTGAGCATTTTAATATATAAATTGTTCCTGTTACTAAAATAGTATTTATGAGTATTTTAGATGCTCTGAATAACGACCTTGTTCGACAGGCATGCTAGACGCTTGTACTGTTACTTACTCAAAAAAAATTTTATGAGAATATAGCTCATGGTTTTCCAATCCCTTTTCAACAATAGGTTATACTCATATTATTTTAGTTACTTTTTCTTGTTTTAACTTTCTGACAAACCTTCAAACTTAATTGCCTACAAAAAAAAATCATTTTCACTAGAATTATCTGCTTTGCTGGATCGTTTTTCTTATTTTTTCGAACGAAATCTGCAAAAATTACATTAACCGGAATTACTAACTTTGGTATTAGGGTAGTTACTATAGCATTTTATAGTTCTTTCATTTTTTCAATTACTTAATTTTTTTTATTTTGTGATCGTGAAATTTCAAATTGAACTTTCTGCAATCTTTTAAAAAATATTGTGGTAGATGAGATTATTTAGACATTTAAACAATCTTTCATGAAGAGTAAGCCCGGGGATTATAAGTTACTTGTGTTTAATCATATTTTCTCTTAACAGGTGTTACTTCCAAAACTAGAGAGGTTGGAATTGTCCAATTCAATCCGTTTGATTCCACTGATATGGGACGACCAACTTTCACACACCTCATTTGGCAATTTGAAAGCATTCATTGTGAAAAATTGTGGCTTTGTGAAATTGGTGCCCGTTCATATGCTAAAATATTTGTACAATTTGGAAGAACTGGAAGTCAGCGATTGCCACATGTTGGAAATTGTGTTTGATTTTGAAGATTTGAATGAGTATAAAGCGAAGGTGTCATCATCAATCCAAGTTGTGCCACTAAAAAAGTTGAAGCTATGGTCTTTGCCAAACTTAAAAAATTTGTGGAGCAATCACTTCCAGGGAAATGTCCCCTTCCCAAACCTAAGGAGTGTACAAGTTTTCTCTTGTGAAAGTCTCACAAGAATGTTTCCCGCATCTATAGCCAAAGGCATGCTTCGTGATCTTGAAGAGCTTCGATTATCGTGTTGTGGTATAGATGTCATTGTTGCAAAAGATCAAGTTTCAGAATCCGTTGCTTCTGCATTTGAATTTCCTAGGCTGACTTCCCTTGAGCTTTATTCGCTTCAAAATTTAAAGAACTTCTATCCACAGAGACACACATTAGAATGGCCACAGCTTCGATGATTATCTATCGAACGTTGTGATGAATTGGAGATATTTGAAAATGAAATCTCAAGTTCACTAGAAATACACGAGGCAGAGGGCACATTAGACTCAAAATATCCTCTACTGTCCCATAAAAAGGTGCATTTACAAATTAGCTATTCATGTATTATTTATTTTAAAATAAGCTAATAGAAAAGCAAACATAACTTGAAGCATTAAAATAAACAATGAAACATTAAATTATTTGTTTTACAACCTAAAAGCAATTGAATTTGATATTTTTGAATATTCAAATATGTGAATTATTCCTATTATTACTAAAATATTTGTTAGAGTATAATGTAATTTAGGGTTTGTTGATTGGCTTTAAAAAATAAAAAAGAATAATTCATCATAATTATTTTAATTAATAGATTTTATAAATAATTTTATATTCTTTCTTTTTAATAGAGGACTCCAATCCTCAGCTTCCATCTTCTCGAACGAAAAAAGTGGATTGTTCAATCATGGGAGGGGATAGGTTTTTTACCCCTTTTTTCTTTTTTCTCTTTTCAAACATTATATGCTTCAATTTAATATTTTCTTTTTTAAAAAGAAGGGAGGAATAACGTTTGTGGGTCATAATCAAAGATTGAAACTCCAAAGTAAAAATTTATTTAATTCATCATAATTAATAATTAACATTTATCAAAATTGTGGATGCATCAAATTGTAATTCATAAAAATTCAGTTTAGGATTTGATGATTGGCTTTAAAAAACTAAAGAAGAATATTTCATAATAATTATTTTAATTAATAGATTTTATAAATAATTTTCTATTGTTTTTAAAAGAGGGGCTCCAATCCTCAACTTCTATCTAGACGTAAAAAGGTTTGTTGTTAATTGATTCTTTCTTCTTCTTTGTTCCTTCTTTTTTCTTTTCTCTCGACATTATAAGCGTTAATTTAATTAATTTATTTTTTTAAAAAAGAAGGGAGGTGTAATGTTTGTGTGTCACAACCTTGCAAAGATTAAAATTCTAGACCAAAAATTTATGCTCATTTGAATTTATCATAATTGATATTTGAAGTGCACGAAATATATGTATGTCAAAATTGTGGATGCATCAAATTTTAATTTGAAGACACCTTCATAAAAATCGCATATGGCTTTTGACGTATTGATTAATTGGTACTGTTAGTTACTATTTATGTATTGTGCAGGATATTCGTAATTTGGAGAAGTTGAAATTGGAGGGTAAAGGAGCTGAAATGATAGGGAGTGGCCGCTTTCCAATGAACTACCACTTCCCCAAAGTAAAACTGCTCGATCTATCTGTAAAGAAAGCCAGAACTATATCGTACAGATCATTGTTGAAGAGCTTTCCAAAATTAGAGGAGTCAGGGTTAGGTGGTCACATTAAGGAGGGTTCTGGAGGGGATGAAGTTCCTTTTTTAAAATTGACTCTCCAGGAGGTTTACAAGATGACAAGCTTGGCACCATCCTTAGTTTCTTTACCAAATCTCACACATCTTACAGTGGCAATTTCTTTTCAGTTGACCACTTTGATGACGTCATCAACTGCTCGAAGCTTGGCCCATCTCACACATCTCTCAATTGATCAGTGCTCTGAAATAAAGGAAATCATATCGAAGCACGAAGGAGAGGCTGATGAGGATAAGGAAATCTTTTTCAACAAATTGCAGTACTTGCAACTTTATCACCTACGAAGACTGAAGAGATTTTGCGGCCACAATTATACTTTCAGGTTTCCATTATTGGATACTCTAATCATAGAAAGATGTCCAACATTTAAAATATTCTCTCCAGGGCTCATTGATACACCTTCTCTTAAAAACATTCAACCGTCACATGATAGGGGAAAACATCATGAAATTTGGGACACCAACCTTAACAAAACAATCCACCAGCAGGTGCGTCCACCAGCATGCTTAATTCTTTCTATCTCCATATTTTACAAAAATAATCATATATAAAAGTTCCATGTTTATGATATTTAATATAAATCTCCCTGTACATATTTTGGCTTAATTAAAGATTCTACTAAACTTGTGAGTATAATCTTGTTACATCACTTTAATTACAAATTAAACACCACAAAAAATTTCATCATAATTAATTAATGGGACGTATAGCAGAGTGTTTTAGTATTATTATTCTTTTGTTTTTGTAGTTGATATCGTTATTTCTTTTCCAATATTAATTATAAAAATTAATGAACTCAAAGTGCGTGACACTTGTTTGATTAGGAAGATCATGGGCAACAAAATTATTCATAATTTTTTTTTCTTCTAGCTAGTGGGCGATTTGACTTTGGGAATCAATAAAAAAATAAGTTATTGTTGCTACGCTACTGATTCAGTGTGAAGTTATGTGATACAAAAATTGGGACATTATTATTTATAAACGTTTCTCAGTACAAAATATTAAATTATGTAGTTATAGTTGAATAATATATCTTTGCCTATAATCTTTTTACAGCGATTTGTCGGTACACGAGAGCTGGTGTCAGATGAGGATGATGTCAGCATGATAAGGAATGACCAATTTCCAGCGGACCGTTTTTCTCACGTGGAAATTCTTCGTATAGAAGGATTTGTTGGTGAAGGGGTAACATTTCCGTACACATTGCTTGGAAGATTTCCGAAACTGAGTGAGCTTCATGTGAAGGATAGTTCTTTTGAGGAGATATTCCCATCACATAATGCACACATTATTGTTGATCAAATTCCACCATTCAGGGAACTCTGCCTTGCCAATTTGACGGTGCTCAAGGTGTCCCAGTGTAATCGGCTCATCTATTTAATGACAAATTCAACTGCCAAAAGCTTGGTGAATCTTGAACCACTGGAGATAAGTTACTGCCATGAGATGGAAGAAATTGTAATGAAGCAGGATGGAGAAGATGATGAGGACAAGGAAATCTTTTTTAGCAAACTGAAGCTTTTGGAACTTGACTATTTACCAAGATTGAAGAGATTTAGTGGCCACAGTTATACTTTCAGGTTCCCATTATTAGAATGTGTAACTATAGCACGGTGTCCTCGACTCACAATGTTCTGTCCAGGAGCCATTTATGCCCCGCGTCTTCAAAGCATTCGAGTATGTAGACACAAACATGATCATCATAAAGACATTTGGATGACCGATCTTAACAACACCATCCAGCATCGGTTTATGACTCCGGAGGTACATCCAACATTTTGGCATTCTTATTTTCTACTTTTTAAATAATTCCTCATTATCTACAAAATTTAGGATGAGGTAACTATTTAATACAAATGTTGAAGTTGCTCTGTCGTCTCCCATAAATTATAAACTTTTCATGTTACAAGACTCTAATTGCAAGCAAACAGTGATAAATGAATGTCGTAGCCTGCAAATAGTGTTGCAAGTTTGGTACTTTTTTACTAGAAAGAAAGGGAGCTATAAAATGATTCAGAGACTTTTTTATCTTATTTTAAAATATGGATGTGATTTTAGAGGGAAAATCAACAACAACAAACCTTCATATAAATATTAGAAAAAATTGACCGATTGTTTAAGAAAGACTTTATATACAATAAAAACGCAAAATTAGTATTTTAAAAAATATATTGACCTAATTTATTACACTACCGTCTTATAGAAGTAATTTTATCAATAATCGCTTTATATGTAATGTTCACTGTCAAAAGCCTAGAGCAAAATGAGAATTCGAAGGCAGTGATAGTTTTTTTTTAAAAAAAAATTTAATTTAGAGGCAAAAAGCGTGCAAGAAAATTAATCTAAAATCTTTTCTAATTTTGATGCATGGATGTGATTTTTGAGGAAAATGATGAAGATATAAATATTATTCGAAAACAATATCTTGATTTAATTTACTAAATAGCATACTAATTATTAATTTTCATTTTATAGGTAACTTGCATAACCCAAGACATGGTGTTAAATTAATGTAGAGAATATCACTAAGTGATGTCTTTCCTATAGTGAGAAGTCTTTGTGTAGAAAGCTTCCAAGATGAAGGAGTACTCTTTCCCTATAGATCCCTTGAAAAATTTCCCCAGTTGGATTATCTTGAGGTGAAGCAAAGTTCATTTGAGGAGATATTCCCCTCACAGGACTAGATTATTGATTTTATGGGGAAAATTCCTCCATTTGAGGGATTATGCATTTCCAATTTGGATAAGCTCAATGTGCTGTGATTGTGAAGCTTTCATTCAACAACTGTGTGGTTTGCTTTATTATGTTATTCAGATTATTAATTAGTTCAATGAGATTGGTCACGATTGACCCTGGAGTTCTTGATAGATGTATGAAACAATATTCATTTTTGTGATCAGTATGTAAAGGCATAGAAGAACAATAATTGAAATAAAATGTGTAGTTTATGTATATAATTTAAAATGTGCAATCAACAGCGAGCAAGCTAGAGATAAGAGATAATTTATTTTTTACATCAATTTCGACATAAGATTTAAATCATACCAATCTATTACGGTCCAAATTTCAAAAGATAATGGTAAGAAATGAAGATAGGTTAATGTTGAACTGTTGGCTAGAATGAATAAAAAGCGTAACATTTAAATTGATGCTAAAATCAGAAATCATCCACCATATTTTCTCACCTATTGACTCCCGATATTAGTTAACAAAATTACTCTTGATGCCTTTATTTTATATTTCGGTGTTCATTTTGAAACCTTTATTAATATAATAGGGAAACTCTATTAAAAAAATATTTGGTTGTAAAAAAGAAGCAGGCAGGGGGAGGAGCTTCCCACAAGAACAGAGAATTCTCAAAAACCACTACCACCTCTGTAACCACATGGGACTCCTCGTATCCAGTTATGCCACTTGGTGCAAACCAGTACGCAACAAAAATGCTACAAGTTAGTAGTGGCTTGTCCTGTATCCAACACAAAGCCCTCTGTTCAAATGAAAACCTTCATTTGTGTTGGAAACTCAATTTTGTACTAACTTTCTTCAGGGACATCATTTCCAATGAAAATGTTGCTTATTATCATGTTGAGTGGATTATATGCGAAATTGTCTATCATAAAGAGATATGCTCTCTCATACGTATTAAGAATTATCAAAAAAACAAAAACAAAAACAAAAAAAGTCTATGCATAGACCATTATAAAGAAAATCAATAGTGCATCTTGCACTGCCACAAGCATTTGGAATGCCAGTCCAACATTACAATAATGTCATAGTATCAAACACATCTCATTATTTAGAATACATAAAGAAGCTCAAAGTTCTTCATAATCTTATCTGAAATGCATGTATCCTGCCCCATAAAGGGCAGAGGATTTTTCCAATCATCATCCACCTAAACAGGATTATTATTATTCACTAGATTCTTGTGAACAAAGATAAAAATATCAAGCAAGTTGCACATGTTGGTGCATTTGTTTAAATGAGTACCTTGTCCCACTTAGATGACATGTATGCAGAATCACTAAACGACATAGGAAGTCATAAGAGATTAGAGTGTAATATTACATTACACCTACTCCAAAGCATCGCCAAATTGATTTAATCATATTCAATAACTATAATATGAAAATAACAAAATTAATGGATAAGAAGAAGAAGCTTCAGAATTCAGAGAGCTCTGGCAAATTAAAAGTGGAGCTCTAGTGTGGCTAAAAGCAGAAAGGGAAAAAGACATCAAACTACACAAGCACACAAAAGCTGTGTTTTCTGTTAGGGGGAAGGTGAGCAAAGCATGCCAATTTAATTCAATAAATTAGCACACGTCAAAAATTTATGGAGAGTGATTATTGATGATTGAAAAATTATTCTAAAAGAATTAACTTGCAGGCCTTCAGAGCATTTAACTTTGGGTTTTGTTGGCGGAGAAATCTACCCAATGGATCTACAAACTTCTGCTCTTCCTGAGCTGTTTCTTCATGTTCTGCACCCTCTGATCCAGCCACAACATCAACTTGCATAGTATGAGACAGCTCAGAAAACTGAGGAGTGTTAACTTGACTGCCAGGTGTCAAAACCTAAACAGATCATGATGATGCTTCATCTAGCAAATCACCTACAAAACCACATACTAGAAAGGTTTTTTGAGGTGAAAAAAACATCGAACCAAGAGTTAATGTGATAATCAGGAGAAGAAGAACAAAACAATATGAAAGTTCAAATTCTTTTGCAATAATGATTAATGAGCGACTTTAGAAAATCTGATTTCCTATTTTGAAGAATTTGCTGAGGAAATCGAATACTGTGCTGGAAAATGGAAAAAGGAAGTTGGTTTGCAAGTCTACTGATAAAAGAAAAGAAAAGGTAAAAAGTAAAAACGAATATTCAAACAACCTTCAAACTTACTTTCGAATGTGGAAATCTAGGCACCATGACTTACAGCTGCATACAGAATGTTAGCATCAAGAACAAATGCTAATCACTTAATCAGCTTAGCCCACAAGCACACAGAAGTGGGTCATGGACTTGGAGGTTTTATACAACTTTTTGTTTTTTGGGCATCGGAGGTTTTATAGACTCTAATCCAGAAGCAGCTGATATTCAAACAACTTAGCCAGCTCTTCATTCAATTGCATCGATTTTAAAGTTAATAGCACAAGCCCGGAGCCTTTAGATCATGTTTAAGAATGTCTGAGAATTTCAGACACTGCTGGTTAAGTTCCTTATTTAACTTTGATAATATATGCTTAATTTTTATAGACTATTAAGATCTCAACAAGCAAGGACATCAACATTTTGTTGAAGAACTCCATTTAAGAAGGCATTATTAATGTCAATAGCAAGCACAAACCTCAGTGAAGAAGTTTTCAAGACAGGGCTAAATGTTTCATCAAATTCAACCCCTGGATTTTGCTGAAAACCTGTCACACCTAGTTTGGCTTTGTGCTTTATTTAACCATGTTTTGTTTTTTAATCACAGCATTATATTCGGCCTCTTTCATAGCCTGTCTCCACTGGACTGACTTGAGAGCTTCTTTAATCCTGTGTGGCTCTTTGGATTCATCTATTACTATAGCCGCACCAGCACAAGGTAATTAATGTATGTTTGCTTATTTAAATTTTCTGCTTGTTGCTCTGTTATTTTCTGTGTTGAAGATGGGACAGTATCAGCACTGGAGTGATCATGTGGAATTCTTCATTGTTCAAAGGGCTATTGAATCCTTCATTTGTGACGCAAAGACGAAGTAATTGGCTTGAGACAGACACGCCTTTGGATGACCTAGTTCATCAGGCGCAGCTTTTCTTTGTTGTCTAGTTAAAAACCAACTAAACAGAAAGTTGATTATTTAATTTTATACTTATGGGCATTCTCAGCTTTATTAATTCTTCTTCCTTCCAAAATCACTTTTTCAGAATCTTATCAACTAGACTATAGCTGGTGTTTAAAAAATTATCAACACATTAAATTCAAAAAGGATGATTTTGATAAGATGTTGTTCTCGAATTGTCAAAGATTAATTTATCATGGTCAGTAAAATCAGATAGAATTAGCATATAAATAGAAAGTGATTTGGTCTGTAGAAATGAAGTTGGCGATTGTACTCAGTTTTGACAGGGGAAGATAAGCTAAGCAGAGCCGAATTAAACAGCGTTCTCTCGCATTGGTTGAATTCCCATTTCTGCTATTATAAACATCAAATAAATATATTTTGTGCAACGAAATATCTGTGCGTGTGTGTGGGTGTGTGTAGTTTTTTCTTTAATTACAAATTACAAATCCATATGAATGTTTACCTCTAGTTTTTTTTTTTTAGTATAACTCGCAATATTTTCAAATTATTTTGGGTTTAAAACTAATTTTTGTCAGGCTGAAAAAGTTAAGGTAAAAGCTCTTCCAACAAGTACACTTCTCGGGTTTAAACTTACATTTTTCTGTTTATCGAAGTGATACTACTTACTATCCCAATTAATAGTAATGTTTACCTCTAGTTGCAAAGTCCCAGAAAGAGCACATAACATGGACTGATGGGCTGAGATATCAAACTATGGCGCTTTTGCCGGAGCTGCCTCTGCATATCAGACTACGGACTGTATATGGTACAATTAACCATGTTTTGTTTTGTTTCTTGTTTTTTTGTTTTTTGGGTGACAACCATGTTTTGGTTGTTAAACAGAGCATTGTGTTCTTTCCTTGCTGCAGACCACACCAGCATTGCATTTGATGGAGACAAAAAACTCCTTTTCCCAAAGCTACCTTACCTTGGTATAAACTCTTAATTTTCCAATAATATGATATTAATCTCTAGTAAATACTTTTTGAAGATTTCGTTACCATTTGACCAATGTAAGACCATCAAAAACTCACATTTATTAGAGAGTAATTTCCTATTTTTCTCAGATTTAAATTTGATCTCTAAGTATTTTTTTTCCCTCACAATGTTCAAGAAAATGCCGTATTCTTGGGTACAATTCCCTTAAAATATTTTTTTAAAATAAATTCTCCCTTTCTTTCTTGGTATAAATTCGCATTGATCTTAAAATAATTTTTTTCTATTTTTGCCCAGTTATTTGAGACTTCCTGGTATTTTTCATATTTAAATTTGGCTAATTGTACTTTATTTAGCCACAAATGATTATTTAAAAATTTTCATTTTTGAGGTATTTTTTCCATTTATACTTTAATTAAATATCAAATATAATATGGGTAATTATTCTCTCCGAGGATTTTCCTATAATTAACCGGCAATCAAAAATTACGTTTTCCCCCCACTTGGAACGGTAATTATGCAATGTTCCATTGACATGTCTGCTATTTTATTTGACCCATAGTTAACTTTTAATCATGCGCCTCGCATTTATTGTAAACCCGAATGTTACATAATATACTTATGTTCGTATTATCTTGGGGTCTGTATTAAATTACCCATATGCCAAAATTAAGTTGTTATCACATATGAAGTGTTCACGCCACTAATGCTAAAAGTTGAAAATTTTTGTTGAATAATGGAAGC